ATCGATGGGCGTTTGGGTTGGTTCCAGGTCTTTGCTATTGTAAACTGTGCTGCAATGAACATTCGTGTGCATGTGAGGCTAGGACCTGTTTTAAGTAAACTGGCGGCTTCAGTCCAGGCTCGTGGGCCTTGTATAAGCACAGTTTCCTCAAAAACATGACAATCTTAGCACTTCTAATCAGTTCCACGTGCAAGTAACTGCATTATTTTGGCCAGAGTGTTACTTTAGTGGCCCCTGATAGACCCTGTCTCCCGGTGTGGTCTCCCTCACCTGATGGGCGTGGCCGATGACTAGATGGGGCCAGTGGCATGATGGCAGCAGGGGCTTAATAAATGCCTGCACATGGGGCTTGACATCTTGGCATGTTCCACTGGTAGCCCACCTGTCGTGCTATGAGAAGTTCAAACACAGAGAGAGGCCACATGAGAGAGAACTGAGGTGTTCTGGTTAGTAGGCCCCGATGAGCCCCAGACAACAGCTAGCCATGTGAGTAACCATCCTGGTCAGCTCAGTGGAACAGCCCCAGCCAGCATCCATTGTAGCACAACCACCCAGCTGAGCCCAGTCCCTGACGAGATCATGAGTGATAAATGATAGTGGTTTTAAACAACAAAGTTTTGGGGTAGTTTGTTAAATAGCAATAGATACCCCAAGCACACACATAAAATTCTTTCCTAGGCCAGGCGGTGGCTCACACCTCTAATCCCAGCACTTTGGGAGGCCCAGGAGATTGAGACCATCCTGGCCTACATGGTAAAATCCCGTCTCTACTAAAAATACAGAAATTAGCTGGGCGTGGTGGCGCGGACCACCTGTAGTCCCAGCTAATCGGGAGGCTGAAGCAGAATTGCTTGAACCTGGGAGGCGAAGGTTGCAGTGAACCAAGATCATGCCATCGCACTCCAGCCTGGTGACAGAGCGAGACTCCATCTGAAAAAAAAAAAAAAAAATTCTTTCCTAGACATAAGCCGCCTTATATCCTTACCTCCATGCTTCTCTTAACTTAATGGTAGCTATCATGAGGCCATATGGGATTATGATGGGAGAACCACCCCCTTAATCCCATATTTACCAAAAGGCCAAGTTATTTTGTTCAGATGAGAAGTTTTATTATGCATTTATTGTTCAAAGCAATTTTCAGCCTTACCTTTTCTCATCTGAGATCTAGAAAGACTGCTTTTGCAACCTTTTGATAGAAATTTTTTTTTTAAGATTCTCTGTTTTCCCGTTCATTTCTGCTTGCAAACTAGCCAGTTCTTTCCTCTTTACTGTGCTGGCATTCCAAAATGCAGTCAACATAGCGAGCTCACACTGCATGTACATCCTATCTGGCATGTCCCTTTCCCCTAGAGCTGCTGGCTCTGTGGACGCACAACCTGCGTCCCAAGTTAGCACAAGAGTCTTACAGATGTCTTGTACTTGCATAATACGATGTCCTGCTGCCCAGCCTGTGAGCTGTATTCATTCTGCCTGCCACCCAGCTGCTTAGCCAATGACACTGTTTGTTTTTTGTTTTTTGTTTTTTTTTTTTTTTGGCTACAGCAGAGACCCACTCCTGATTTCCATAACATTTGCAATAGAATAGGCTGTGCAGGATCAAATAACCCAAGCTCTGGTTGGCTGGGCACAGTATCTTTTGAGTATTTCCCACTCATAAAAAGCCTGATGGAGATACTCCTGGAGGTGCTCTGCAAACTGGGGTGCCAAGACCCAGGCTCCTTCCTTATGATGCTGCTATCTTCAACGTGTGCCTCAAAGAGGGCCATGCCCCAGAAGGAGGAGAACTGCTCCTGTGACACTGAAGTGGGTCCGCCTGCTCAGTGATGAACACCCTTTTCATACGTTGCTTTGGCTAGAACTACTCACAAGGACCCACCTCGATACAAGGGGCCTGGGAAATGTAGTCTTCTGGTGTGCCAGGAGAAAAGGGAGATCGTCTGGTGAACATGCGACTTTGTGACAGTGGCCAACAGCATGGACAGCAAGTGAGCGTGGACCTGGGCCCTGTATACCTCACCTGTCCTCATGGAGGGGATCCCACATGCCCAACACCCCCCACCCAGCTTCTCCGGCACTCACACCTTCAGCCTTTAAATCTCACTGCATCATCTTGTCTTGACTGGGCAGGGATGCTTTGTGAGGTGACAGTGACGCTTGTTCCGTGCCTTTGGGGCCAGGTTGTGCATTTTTTTTTCCAACTTCCGCCTCCCGGGTTCAAGCGATTCTCTTGCTTCAGCATCCCAAGTAGCTGGGATTACAGGTGCCTGCCATCGCGCCAATTTTTTGTATTTTTAGTAGAGATGGGGTTTCACCATGTTGGCCAGGCTGGTCTTGAACTCCTGACCTCAGGTGATCCACCCTCCTTGGCCTCGCAAAATGCTGGGATTACAGGCATGAGCCACTGCATCCCGCTGGGTTGTGAATTCTTAAGGCATTCTAGGCCAGGCATGGTGGCTCAAACCTATAATCTCAGCACTTTGGGACGCTGAGGCACTCGGACCACCTGAGGTCAGGAGTACAAGACCAGCCTGGCCAACGTGGTGAAACCCCGTCTCTACTAAAAATAGAAAAATTGGCCAGGCATGGTGGCAGGTGCCTGTAATTCCAGCTACTTGGAGGCTGAGGCAGGAGAATCGCTTGAACCCGGGAGGCAGAGGTTGCAGTGAGCCAAGATCTTGCCACTGCACTCCAGTGTGGGGGACAGAGTAAGACTCTGTCTCAAAAAAAAAAAAAAAAAGTTACGCATTTTGTTGTATGTAAATGTCCCCTCAAAAGAACACACTAAAGTCTGGATTCTGGTTAATGGTGAGTGTGCTGAAACACACGAAGGCGGTGTCCTGATGCCGCAGTTTATTTTGAAATGCACTAAAAGTAGGATGGATTGAAGCAGAGATGAATAGTTGATAGATGTAAAAATGCAAGTATGCAACAGGAAAGCGGTAATGGTAGAATCTAGGTGGTGGGTATGTGGGGCTCACTGTAAAATGAAGTCAACTTTTCCATGTTTAAACCTTTGAGTGATGTTGAGAAAAATTGGAAAAATTAAACATAACCAGAAGAGGGTGATTGAGTATGTGGCAACTGCTGACAGGCTGGATGAAAGGGGCCTGAGGCTCGAACATGCACGCCACAGGCTAGAGGCTTCAGGGAAGACGCTTCAGGTCTCCTTGATGCGGACCGAGGCCAGTGGTCTGGGTGGGGTGAGGCCATGGATAGAGAAGACAGCCCCTCAGGGAGCTGTGATAAAATGGGGCAGAGGACAGGAGCAGCCTGGGGTTGCAGGGCTGTTGCTCTGTCCTCCCGTGACACGTGTGGGGCATGCGTGGAGGCTGATGCGAAGGAGCCTGTGCAGGAAAGCTCATGATGGAGGGACAAGGAAGAAGCCCCTTGTGGGTGGGGGGCCTGGGAGAAGCCAGAGACACTGCGTCTCCCACACTGCCAAGGCGCGTCCTCAGGTCGGCTCAGGATGGCAGCTGGTGTGGGGTGGCTGTGGGAATGGAGGGAGTGCCTCAGCTAAGCTGGCAGGGAGGGTGCTGGAGGTCTGAAGAGACAAAAGTTGTGTTTCCTCAGAGAACTATTGAGGGAGTTGTCCAGGGAAACACAGACCTGGGCTGTGGATGGAACATGCCGTGGCTCTGGGGATCAGGCAGGTGCAGGGCAGGCGGACGGACAGCTGGCTGTTACCAGGGCTGAGGCTCTGCCAGGTGAGCATGAAGGCAGGAGGGCACTACCGGGAAGTGCAAGCAGGTGACCAGGAATTCTAAACTGGGTTGGGAGGAAAACAAGGAAAGAGGGGCTGGGCCAGGGGCTTGGAGAGCCTGGTGGTTTGAAGGGCCCAGGGAAGCGCCACGTGAGGGAGAGCCTGGCCTGAGTGAGGGACACCTCAATCTAGCCCTCGGAGGCAGCGCGGTCACCAGTAACAAGAAACACGCGTGGCTATTGGGAGAGTGGAGAAGAGGGTTGCGAGTGAGGCGGCAAGGACACACCCGGTCTCAGTCCACCGCACGTGGGGTGAGGTTCCACTTAAGAGGGCTGTAGGCGACTTGAGTGGGCTTCAGCCAGGCCAGAGCTAGAGGGAACTTCCTATTCAGAGAAGGCAGTTGGAATCCAGAAGTTTGCTGACAACAGACCATGAGTTCCAGAACGCACAGTGAGTTGCAGGGAGGGCAGGGGAGTGCCCGTGAGATAAAGGGCAGAAGACGGTCGGCTCAGGTGGTCTCAGGGCAAGAGCCCATAACAGCCTAGGGTAACATGGGCGAGCCTGTGGTTTCTTCTGGGTCCCGCTGAGGGCAGTATCTAGGCTGGGGCACCATGTCTGCCGAGGAAAGCTCAGTGGCAGGGCAGAGAGGGCCCGGGGCTGCCTTGTGAGGTTCCAGAGGTTTGCGTGACGGTGGGGAGGCCCAGGCCCAGGGCCCCCTGAAGTAATGCTGAAGGGACTCTGCTTCCAGAGGGGCCCAGATCACCTCAGAGGCCAGGGTGTTAAGCCAGGGAGCTCACCTTCCTCTCTTGCCAAGTGGCTGCCAGAAAGCTGGACTCCAGCTGGCAGCCCCCCACCCCTGGTAGGTTTCCAGCCCCAACCCTGGGACTGCGGGTAGTGGGGGCAGAGAGTGGAGTGGGCAGGCTGAGGGTCTGCCATCCCGAGGGTACCTCACCATCCAGCTCCCAATAATAGGGTTCTCTCCTCCTTGCCAATAGAGGCTCGTGCCTGAGAGCATGGCTGAGCAGGTGATTCTGCTTAAACCCCAAGCCTCCAAGGAGGGTGCCATGCCCAGTTCAAGGATGAATGTGTTGAGGTGTAGAAAAGGCCACACAGCTGTGAGTGGCAGAATCTGGTGATGTCAGAGCTCCCATCCCAGATGGCCACGGTCTGGTCTCCAGACAGCTTTGACGGCACAAGGGGTAGGGACGGGGAGAGCCCTGAAGGTGGGGCCAGGGAAGGCCCAAGAGCCCCCAGCTCCTGTGGGGGAACGGCTAAACAGGAGAGAAGGCAGCCCCAGGCCTGGGCTTTCTGAAAATGTGACTTTATTGTAGAAAACTGTTCTGTGTGCCCCAGCTCCCGCCACCAGGCTGCCCTTTAGACCGATGGCCAGCAGCTGACTCCAGGAAGGCAGCCCTTCATTATCAGAGACTGTGCACCTGTGGTGCCTTCACTGGGGGAAGCCCTGGGGCAGGCTGGGACCTGAGACGCCCTGTGTGTCTGCAGGCCCAGTGTCGTAGCCCAGCTTCCTCATGTCCTTGGTCACTACGTTGAAGAGGAGGGTGACAAAACCCTGAGAGCGGACACGGGTCACTGGGGACAGAAGGGCAGCATCAGCCAGGCTGGGTTGGGGCAGAGACAAACCCAGGTTGATCTGGGAATCTCTCAGTCTCAGCGTCTGTAAAATGGGGACAACAGCGCCTGACCCATGTCACTCACTGGGAGGGAAAGAGGCTGCCGCTGGGACAGGCAGACATGACAGACCCTCTGTGTTCCAGCAGCCCTCATCTGGGAACATTCGTGGGCCAGCTCCCAGGTGCCTGGCAGGTCCCTGGCATTCACCCCCAACCCTGGGCCCACCCACTCCCAGGCTCTAACCTGTCTGGGGGCTGGGGGCAAGGGAGGGGAGGGAGCTTTACCTTCCCGGCCTTCACCCTGAGCCACCACCTTGGGGTCTGTGTACTCGGGTCGCCGCCCCATGAACCAGCTGGGAACACAGAAGAACATGGGTGAGCAGGACCCCACCCGGGCACTCCTGGCCATGGACGACGCTGGATGTGGACTCTCCTCACTCTGGAAACCAGCACTTCTCCTCCAGCCGCACCCTGCCCCCACCAGGAGTCAGGCCCGAAGCAGAGCCTTCCCAGTGGCTGGGCTCCAGCGCGGTGGTGTCCCTTGCTAGGGTCACACAGCCTAGCCAGGCCTCAGGTGCTCTGTGCCCATGCTGCCTCCGCTGGTGGGTTAGGCTTTTCCATCTCCAGCTTCCATAGGTTTGGTTCACTGGGAATGAGAGCTCAGGGAGATTCTGGGGTGGGGGTGCTGCCTGAACCCAGGTGGAAATCCCAGAAAAGTGACAGCAGCTGAGGTGGGGGAGGGGAGGGGACAGTGTGACCCTTCAGCCTCCCCAGAAGGGGATCCCACCCCAAAGAATCCATGGGGTGGGCAAAAGGGCCAGAACTGGGCTCCTCAGCCTCGCCTCCTGTTAATGTGGGGGTCCAGGAAACGTCACTTCCCATCCCTGAATCGTAAGCTTGTCAACTGTAACATGGGGACAATCGTGGCACCCACCGCAGGACCTGTCAGGGCGGCACGCAGCCACCGGGCCCAGCATGCGCCCTCCCCAGCCCCGGGCCCCACTTGGGCCGGCGGGAGGCCGGGAGGCCGGGGTGGAAACAACCAGGAGCATTATTCCCAGCCGGGTGGGTCCCGCAGCCACGGGCTTTGCCCCGCAGGGACTCATGGCTGCGCCTCCTCCGTGCCACAGCTCCCAGGGCCACCCCACATCACACCCGGCCCCCGAGGGTCGCTGGCAACCGTGGCGACGCAACAGCCCCGCGCAGCCCTCCCCTCAGCCTCTCCGTCTCCGAGGTGGGCACCAGCGCTCACCCGGGGCTGCCGCGGAGGGGCCAGGCCAGGGAGGGGCCCCCCGGCTGCCACAGGGGGCTGTCCTGTGAAGACTACAGCCAGGGAGCACTGCCCGCCAGCCCCCAACCCCGAGGAGGGAGCCAGGGAGTGAAAGCCAGTGGGTGCTCCCCAAGGGGAAGGGACGGGCAGCCACAACCCCTGCACCTCAGTTTCTCCTTTGGGAGAGCGAGGCTCTCGCAGCACCCATCTGACAGGGGGCTGTGTGTGCGGACTGGGGCCTGGGAGCGTCCCCACCATGCCCGGCAGATCCCAGATCCCATCCCAGAGCTCACATATGGAGAGCCGGTCCCCAGTGAATTTCTTTCCTGGGGTGCGCCAAGGTGGTCTGCTTGGCTGGCTGGGGTGGGAGAGATGAGAGACTGTTCTGGAAGGCATTCCAGGCAAGGGCCCAAGGCAGGGAAGGACCCCTCGGGCTAGAGGAACTGAGGCAGATGGGAAGCAAGTGGCAGAGGCCATGAGGTGGGCAGGGCCCAACTACCGGCCTGGCGGCATTCTGGTTGAAGATCATCCCGAAAGAGGAACAGCATGGGGTAGGTTCTCGAAGGGGAGGGGTGTTTTAGGAACACCGTTTTTTTTTTCTGTGTGAAGACTAGACTGGAGGGGATGCAGCAGGCTGAATAACAGCCCACAAAGATGGCTGATCCTAGCCCCGGGAAACCGTGCATGTGACCTTACTGAGAAAAAGGGTCACATGTACTTTGCAGACACGATTAGGCCAAGGTTCTTGAGACGATCATCCAGGGGTGCCCTAAATGCCATCACAAGACCCTTATCAGCAAAGGAGAGAGGGAGATTTCACAGACAGAGGAGGTGGCCCTGTGACCCTAGAGGCAGAGACTGGAGTGATGAGGCGACAAGCCAAGCAAAGCTGGGGCCACCAGAAACTGAAAGGGCAGCTGCAGCAGCCACCACGGGAAATTAATCCAGGGGCCAAGAGTGTTCGGGACAGGCCCTAGGCCAGGCCAGAGGATGTGGAGAGGGTGGGAGAGGGTTGGGGACGACCGAGCTCTCAGCTTCAGCAAGTAGCCTCCACATTTGGGAAGATTCTGCCAATCAGATGGCCTTCACTAATTAGATCTTTCCCCAGTTTTTGTAATCCAAGCACATACTGCCTTGCCCAGTTGCAAGCCCCTCCACAGGGGCTGTGAAACCCCTTCCAAAGCGAGCTCTCTCCTGGAGGCCCAAAGTCCTCCTTGGAGCTGTGGGCGGTGGAACAGGGTGAACAGCCCGGCCGGGATGGCTGTTCGGATCCCACCAGTCCCTTAGGCTTCCCCAAGCCACTGACGGCACTGCCCCACTGCCTCCCTGACAGCCTGTGGGGCGATTGTCACCTCCAGGTGATGCTGGCCCAGGTCATCTGGGAAAGAGGTCCTTTGCCACAGGGTGGCCTCCCAGAAGGGCTCCTAGGGGCAGCGGGCACACAAATGATTAGGCTGAGCCAGTGGAGACCCTGCCGTTCCTCCCTCCACAGTTCTGAGTTCAGTGAGGTGTTTTCAGCCCTGAGGCGCAATGCTGTCCCTCCACCCAGCAGGGCTCTGGCCAGTTCTCAAGCCCAGCACTGGCTACGATCGCCGGGGCTGGAACCCAGGTAGTCCTCCATCTTCCCCTTGTGCCTTACTGACCTGCTGGGGGGCGGCAGAGGCTTGCTGCCCAACTGTGCTAATGGGCCTCCAGTCAGAAGGCCAGGGCCCAGCTAGCCCTCTAAGATCCCACTTGGATGTAGGCAGCGGTAAGAGACCTTCCTGCTGGGGCTGCATGGAGCATCTCCCAGGCCCTCCCTGCAGGCGCTGGTGTGCTGGCCCCTGCCTGCTCCCCATCTCCCTAATTCTGCCTGGCTTACCACGTACTGGCCACGCCACCGTCCTGGCTTCTCCTAGCATGCTAAGCTTGTGCTCCCCTCGGCCTGGCAGGCACTGTTCCCTGGGCCTGGTGTTCTTCCCTGCTCTTCCCTCCACACTAAGCCTCAGCGCAAATGTCAGCTCGGGCCACAGACTCCCACATGTAAAGGCGTTTATCATGATTACTGTGCCAAGGTGTCTGGCTCATACTGCTGTATCCTCTTGTTTCCCACCTTTTAATGTCACATTATGTCACGAACATTTTTCTCATCTGCCAAGCGTTTTTCCTCTGCTCCATCTGACACAAAGATTTTTCACAGGGCACAGGGTAAAATCAGCCAGGCTTCTGCTGCTAGAACAGAGGCTGAAGGGAGCCCCGTGACTCAGCACTCCCAGGGGACCTGTTTCTATTTGTCCCCAGTGGGTGGAGCAGCTTGCAGATCTGAGGAGGCGACCAGGAGCAAACTGAGGGGTAGAATGTGACATCCATTCATCCAGTAGGTCAGGAGGAGGGGCTGCAGTTATAGGTAGGAAACTCACCTTGTAAACTTCTGCAGTTTAGATGTAGATTCTGGGACAAACATGGGGATGGTCCTTTTGTGCCTGAAACAAATGTTTTTGCAGACAGAGGTGCTGCGTCACAGACCTTCTGAGCCTCCAGGGAGCAGAAACACTCGGATCAGGCCAGCGCAGCTGCAGCGTGGGCCAAGTCAGGGCCAATGCTAACGAATCCAACCTGTGCTAACTGAGCACCACTGTGCCCGGGCACGGAGCTGAGTGCTGGGAGACAGTCTCATGGAGGTCAGAGTCCATCGGGAATTTCTTTTCTGGGCCCACTGCCTCTCCACCCCACCTGGTGTGTGGCAGACACCACCCATCCTAGAGGTTCTCTTCCCGAATACAGTCTACACCCCATGCCCCCCGCCCCCGCCCCCGCCACCCAGGCCCCTGGGGACCCCAGAGCTTTCCCAGCCTGAACCTAAGACAGAAAACGGGGCAAGATCTGTCCTAGAACAAGCCCTGCCCAGGGCCCAGATCAGAGTGAGGACGTACCGGCCAGGTGAGAAGGGCACGTGCACCGCGCCATAGCCTCGAACCACATCATTCCCGAACACATCTGGTCCATACACGCTGAGCACGATCTGTGGCCCTTGAGAAGGACAAGGCAGGGGGTCGACACGTGAGGACACATGGGGGAGGTGCAGGGCAGAGAACTGGGAGTGTCCAGCTGAGGGGGCTCAGAGGATTGAGCTCAAAGCCCTGAGGTAGCAGGTCTGAGAGGGGACAGGAGCAGGCATGGGAACCCAGACTGTGCCGAGGACTTCTGCCCACACTAGTACTTCCTGTGTCTCTCCTGAGGCCTGGGCATGCACTCCACACCCCGTCTCCCCGCTGCAGAGTCAGGGCCCACTCAGCCACTCCCATGTACAAGGAGGCACTTCCAGAGGCCCTAGTCTAGGCCCAGGGCCGCAGCTGTGATCAGAGCAGACTAAGGACCTCTGCTCTCTGGGTGCTCCCTTTCTGATGGAGGCAGGCTCAGGGGATTGGGGTGGCACAGGCTTATTTTGGGGGTGTCTAGAGAAGTCAGAGAGAAAACAAAAACTTTTTGGGCATTTTTCTTTGAAATATTATAGGTAACATAATAGCTGTGGTTGTTTTTACACCTGCTTCCTGTAACCATCGAGGTGCAAAGGCGCTTTCACCTCGCCAGTTTCAGGTGAGGCCCAGGGACGGCCTAGGGGCCAATCTGCCAGGCTCTGATCCTGCAGCCACAGCTGAGGCGAGTCACCCAACCTCTCTGCCCCTGTTTCGTCATCTCTAAGACACATGAAATAGTACCTAACGCATAGTAAGTGCTCAGTGAATGTTAGGGAGAGGTTTGTGCCCTTCCCGTGACTACCTTCCACCACAGGTAACCGTTACTCTGAATTTTATGAAACCACCTCTTTACTTGTAAGACTTCACTGTCAAAGAATGCATCCCAAACCTGGCGTTTTACTTGTACCAATCTTTTTGAACCTTTATGAAAAAGGAATTACACAATATGTTTATTTTTGTGCCCAGCCTCTAATCCAACATTATGACTGTGAGATTTTTCTCAAATGGTTTCCTGTAAAGGGGGGTGTTCATTTTCAATGCCATTTAACATTCTGCATGGAAATCTGCCACAGGGACTGTTCATTCTGGCGCTGATGGACACACGGGCTGCCCTTCTGCTAGAGGCTGAGCACCATGGTGCAGGCTCTCGGTACTCATGTGCACGTTACAGATGTGTGCACATGTGGTGGGCACACACCCAAGAAGCATGCTGCACAGGGCCCATGTCTGTTCCCTCCAAAAAGGTAACACCAAGCTGCCAGCACCCCCCCGCAGTGGTGTCTGATTCCCGCTACTCTACACCTCACCAAAACATGGCATTACCAATCTTTTAAATTTGAGCTGTCCTAGTGAGCGAACACTGGTAGCTCACTGTAGGTTTAAATTACATTTTCCTTCATTAGAGGGGTGTGTGTGTGTGTGTGTGTGTGTGTGTGTGTGTATATATATATTTTTTTTTTTTAGATGGGAGTCTTTCTCTGTCTCCCAGGCTGGGGTGCAGTGGCGCAATCTCGTCTCACTGAAACCTCTGCCTCCTGGGTTCAAGCAATTCTCCCCAGCCTCCCAAGTAGCTGCGACTACAGGCGCCTACCACCACACCCCACTAACGTAGAGACGGAGTTTTGCCATGTTGGCCAGGCTGGTCTCTAACTCCTGATCCACCTGCCTTGGCCTCCCAAAGTGCTGGGATTACAGGTGCAAGCCACCACGCCCAGCCTAATGTACTGTGATTATAATTGAAGCTTGCTATCTGGTAGAACAAGTTGTATTTTAATATTATTATAAATAATATATCTTAAAAATACCATTTTCTATTTATTGTCGGCATACAGAAAGCAACTGATTTTTGTTAAGATACATTGATCTTATATCCAGATTCATGCCCATCTATTAACTTTAACAATTTATCTATGGATTATTTTGAAATTGTACATAATCATCTTGTCTATGAATATTTTATTCTTCCTAATTCTTACACTCTTTACTTGTACAGCATTAATGGTGATAACAGGCATGCTGATCTCAAGAAAAATCTTTCGACATTTCAATGGCAATCTTGATCAGGTTAGGAAAGTTTCTTTCTCTTCCTAGCTTACTAAGCTTTTATCATGAATGGGTGTTGAAATTTACCATGTTTTCTTCATTTATGGGGATGATCATTTTTCTTCTTTTTTTTGAGACAGTCTCACTCTGTCACCCAGGCTAGAGTGCAGTGGTGTGGGCTTGGCTCATGGCAACCTCCGCTTCCCAGGTTCAAGCAAATTCTCCTGCCTCAGCCTCCCAAGTAGCTGGGATTACAGGCATGCACTATCATACCGCTAACTTTT